AATCAATAATTTTGCATTAACTAAATTATTAAACAATATGTATAAACAAAAAATCAAAATGGCGACTTGGGTCAGGATGGGCCTTTGGATGGATCAGCATGACTTTCCGTCCTTTTTATCAACTTCCAATGTAAATTTTATTTGGCATTGGCATATGGTCAGGGCCGTAGCGATATGACTATCCCTAGGGGGGGAGACTGAGATCCGGCGCCCCCTAAGCACCGCGAAGGTAATTCAAAGGCGAAAAAAAATGACTTTTTTGCAACTTTGACATTGATCATTTTACACCAACTTTGAATTCAATCCAAAATTCCTTACAGTCTAGCAAAGTTGCAAAAAGTCAAGTTTCAAATAACAATATTACCAAAACAGTTGAACTTAGATACCGGATTGGGTATAGAGGGTATATCACATGAGATCTGCTCAGAATTTTACCACAGCATATACAAAAACAACAGAAGTTAATTCTCACGCGCATCTCTTCTGCGCACGCCGCCCCTTGAGGATACAAAGCGAGTTAGCTTGCTGATTGTTTTTGTATGTGCTGTGATTTTACGTTGAATCCGAATATTCAATAATATACAGGGTATTCCATTTAAAATAAAAAAGTTGGAGCACGACCAGCTTTTCTGAAACACCCTTTATATGCGAAAGTAAATTTTTAAAAAAAATTAGTTTCAACCATAAAACATTTATTTGGGACAATTCTTTCTAAAATGTTACATAAAAAAGATAGAGGACGTGACATTTATGATCAATAACCCTGTACGTCACAACGTCACTTACGTCACCGAAAGCTGAGTCGGTGACTGGGTTCGGTAATGGACCTTTCTCATGCAATGAACAACAAGGATAGTTTATTAAGATTTCTGCAATAAAGAAAAAGACACATATAATGACGCACGATACCTGTGTGGAATGACTTTGATTGGTTCCACTTATCAAATTGTTCAATTTCGGTTATGTTTCTGTTTTTGTTTATTTTTAAATGTAAATATGACAAAATACGTATTAACATTAATTAGAAAGAAAACCCACCGCAGCAAAAATGTTTGCAGCAAACCTTTAATTGTACATTATTAATTTGTATTTGATTTAAAAATCGTTATTTTACGAATTGGTTGATACTGATTGATTATTGAGGTTAGCTTAAATACGTCAGGGTCAGACCGCGTTCAGTAAATTGACGATTTAATTATCTGTCACCCACAAGATGCGCGCGCAGCACAGGTAAAATGAGAAAGGTCCATTGCATTTGCGAACAAAAAGAGTGAATTTTGACGGACGTCATGCGCGATCACTTATTCACCACTTATCTTTTTTCACGTGTCAAATCACGTGAAATCTGTCAAATATTGCTCATTTTGCTCGCAGCCATTCCAATTACCGAACTTAACCGGTGATTCATCGAGTTTCCGTTTTGATGGAACTTTTGACTGGGACGTGTCCACAATGGACATGGAACTCTTGACTAGGGCGTGTTCACTATATGGTCATGCTCCGGGCGCACTGCAGCGTCTGATTGCATGCTGAATTAGCATAAAAATACTATCCTTTGTGAATTATAATAGTTATAAAATAGTATTTAATTACCTACTCGGAAACTTGCCTTTTGGCTATTTTTTTGTTGTTGTTGGAACTTTGCCTATTTTGGCGCCCCTTGTCAGCTGCGCCCTGGGGGGAGGCTCCCCCGTCTCCCCCCCTGTTCGCTACGCCCCTGCATATGGTGAGCCTATTTTGTGTTTTTTTAACAGATCGAGTGAATTGTTTAAACAAACATAAACAAATGACAGTTGTGGGGTAGTGCTACGGGCCAAATCAATTTTTATCGTTTAAATACCAAGTATACCAAAATTCATGCTTTTAACACAATTTGCCGTTTTTCACTAAATATCTATGTGTACCGCTAGCACTATAACGCAATCAGTGGATATTAAGCAATACTTTTATTGGTATCCTGTATTATATTATTTTATATTTTAGTCGATTAAGTTGCGGAAAACTAGTTTTTAAGTAAAAATAAATTTGATGATCGATATGTTTTATTGTAGTTTCATTTCCAATTTTATTTTATATACTTGGTCATGGTCAGAATTACCACTTGCGTTTATCTTTGGTTTACAAGTGGTCAGGAAAAAATTTATGTGAAAATGTTGTGATAAAATAGGAAAAGGAGGAGTGAATATAAGCACACACAGAACAACTGGAAAAGTGGCACACAAAAACCATACAACTCCCTAAGTAACAAGGTGGGTGTATCAGGTTTAAGACAAAAACCCCTAAAGCCTCCCTTAAATTAATTAGTTTTCACTTCCTTCAATTTTATCCGAGGCTTCAGCTATATTAATAATGAAAAACCCACCATGCAATATAATAGTTATTTATGTATCAAGGGAATTATGCAGGTGTTAATACCCCAGGGCAACGTTTGTGTCCCGAGGGCCTCCGGCCCGAGGGACACCAATTGCCCGTGGGTATTAACTCCTGATAATTCCCGTGGTACATAGATAATTTTATATCCTACTGAATTTACTGTATTCTGTCTATTTTTATAAAGGAATAAGCCATAAATCAAAAATTCTATTTTTTGTCAAAGTGTTACCTATTCAAGGTAAAAGCGGGAGTTATGGAAATCCTTAACTCCCTTGGGAGTTATGATATCCTTAACTCCCTTCCTTAACTCCCTTGGGAGTTATGAAAATCCTTAACTCCCTTGGGAGTTAAGACCCTGTTTATGATTATCGTAACCAAGGTATTATATGGTTTTAATAGTTCAGTAGGATATAAAAGTATTAAAGCTTCTAACTTTAAACCACACAACCTTCTAAAATACACAAGAAGTTAATAAAAAGCAGCAAAAGAGAATTTAAAACATCAAAATATTCCACCACTATACTATATAAGGTGCATCACGAACGAGAAAATAAGTTTCAAAGCAGTTTACAGCTCATTCGTAAGTGGACGGAAATAGTTATTTACCTAACAAATGCGGAAAGTGATCCGGCACTTTCCGCATGTGTTAGGTACAAAATTTTACCTATGAGCATCTACATCTCCAAAAAAAGGCACTGATAAAATTAATTAATGAATCAGAATAATTAATGAAATTATATAAGATTTAGAAATGATCAAAAATCCATTTTCTGAAAAAGAGAGGATTTTTTATTATAAATATCAAATTCTACTTTACCGCACACTATGCGGTAAAGTGCACTTTACCGCACACTCTGTATCTACTTTACCGCATACTATGCTGTAAAGTTAACTTTACCGCACACTATGCGGTAAAGTGATACTTTCCATTTGCAAATAGGTGCGGTAAAGTGCACTTTACCGCACGCTCGTAGGTAATAGTATATTACATACCGAGGTGGAAAGTGGAAAGTTACTCGAGATTTCAGTTAGACCTCGGCTGCGCCTCGGTCTAACTTAAATCTCTCGACAGTAATGAAACTTTTCACCGAGGTACTATTTTATTTACAATCATTCGAATTTTGAAAGTTTCATTTGGATTAAAACTCAAAAATACAATAATTAACAATTTCTTCAACTTCCGGCCCACGGGTCGAAAGTTTACTTTCGACCCGTGGGCCGAAAGTAAGAGTCAAAAAATACAATAAATTTTAAAAATTTCATTTACTTTCGGCCCACGGGTCGAAAATAAACTTTCGACCCGTGGGCCGAAAGTAAAAGTCAAAAAAGTGACATTTTCAAACTTTTTAAAAGTCAGTAAAGTCAACATTACATGTATGATTGTAAATAAAATATTTTATTTACAATCATACATGTAATGTTGACTTTACTTTTTTAAAATTTATTGTATTTTTTGATTTTTACTTTCGGCCCACGGGTCGAAAGTAAATGAAATTGTTAATTATTATATTTTTCTAGTTTTAATTCAAATAAAAATTTCAAAATTCGAGTGATTGTAAATAAAATAGTATACATACCTCCGTGAAAAGTTTCATTACTGTCTCGAGATTTTAGTTAGACCTCGGCTGTGCCTCGGTCTATTGTTTAAACAAACATAAACAAATGACAGTTGTGGGGTAGTGCTACGGGCCAAATCAATTTTTATCGTTTAAATACCAAGTATACCAAAATTCATGCTTTTAACACAATTTGCCGTTTTTCACTAAATATCTATGTGTACCGCTAGCACTATAACGCAATCAGTGGATATTAAGCAATACTTTTATTGGTATCCTGTATTATATTATTTTATATTTTAGTCGATTAAGTTGCGGAAAACTAGTTTTTAAGTAAAAATAAATTTGATGATCGATATGTTTTATTGTAGTTTCATTTCCAATTTTATTTTATATACTTGGTCATGGTCAGAATTACCACTTGCGTTTATCTTTGGTTTACAAGTGGTCAGGAAAAAAATTATGTGAAAATGTTGTGATAAAATAGAGAAAGGAGGAGTGAATATAAGCACACACAGAACAACTGGAAAAGTGGCACACAAAAACCATAGAATTCCCTAAGTAACAAGGTGGGTGTATCAGGTTTAAGACAAAAACCCCTAAAGCCTCCCTTAAATTAATAAGTTTTCACTTTCTTCAATTTTATCCGAGGCTTCAGCTATATTAATAATGAAAAACCCACCATGCAATATAAAAGTATCAAAGCTTCTAACTTTAAACCACACAACCTTCTAAAATACACAAGAAGTTAATAAAAAGCAGCAAAAGAGAATTTAAAACATCAAAATATTCCACCACTATACTAAGGTGTAGATGTAATATACTATATTTTTAAACCGGAATGGAAATTTTATTTAAGAGAGTAGAGTGGGTACATATAAATTAGGTTTATATATGGAAAAAGATTGGAGTAGGTAGGTACCTACTTGCTACTGGAATATTTTATTATTTATTTAACAAAAAAAAAATGAACATTTTTCATGTGTGTAATTTTAAGGAAATAAAGAACGCACCCTCTTAATTCGGAAACGACTCCCTATTCACACGTTGCTTGGCATCCATCAACAATCACAACAAACAGCATAAACACAAATTTACCTTTCGCAAATTGGTCTTTTTTGATGTTTACGTATTCTGCTTTGTTGTGCTTTTTACTTAATGTCAATGAGAGTCCTCTATTTAGCGAAAACAAAGATTCATGAAAGGAAAATATGTCTGCCAAACTAACTGGAGAAAATGGGGCCGATTTAAAGCTAACTGGAGACAAGGTAAGTCATTTGATATGCTCATAAAAATGTTGTTATATTCTTTCATTATAAAATAGGTAGCTTTATAAAAGTTTTGTCGAGCTTTTTACGAATTTCCATGATAATAGAACAAGGTTTATCGATATATCAGAACCCTTTGGGGCAAAATAACTATTAAGGGTGATCCAACGGCCCGCATTCAAAGCGTCGGAAAGGGTTTCGTAGCAGTCTAATTACTGCTTAACCATAAGTTGTATTGAAATAATTCTTGTTGTAGCCTAATCTACTAATGTGAAGGCATGTTTTTATACAATTTCTTTTTTTTTTAATAATCCAAATTAGCTCAGAAACTGAGCTTAAAAATCATCAAAAAACTGTTTTTTTTGTGTGAATTTTTTGACTATTTTCGGAAGCATTTTCAAAAAAAAAATCCTATAGAGACATAGATCTACTTTTCCTCTTTAGAAGGGAACAAAAAAAATATCAAAAAGTTTATCAAAAGTTGAGTAATTAGACTGCTTCGTAAGCTCTATTTACCGATATTTGTAACCGTGGCGTGGCGCCACCATAAATTGAACACGGATGGCGACGAAAGTAAAATTGAACGTATTAAGGTTTAAAGTCAACCCCTATTTTCTGAACCTTGTGTTCAAAAATTCCAAAAAAAATATATGTTCTATGGGTATCGATATACTTTAATCCATATTTTTTTAAAGCAAATTTGACTCGCCATTTTTGAGTTATATCGCAAAAACTGAAAAAAAAGTAGTTTTTCACCATTTATTTCAAAACGAATAGATGAAGTTTCCCATTATTTTTCTTACGAACTACTATTGCAATTCTACGCGACATATATTTTTTTCAAATTTTTTGAACTTGTAGTTTTCTCGCTACTGCAAAAATACTTAGAAATACGCCCGTACCCACATCCTTAGAATGTATTAAGAATGTTCTTTTTTTAGGAGGAATGTGCTTAGAATGTTCGCCAAAACCATTGCGAATGTCCTGAGAATGTTCTGAGAAAAGATTGTAGAAATACTGTTTGCAATACCCAAGAACTTCCTGAGAAATCGATTAGGATATTCCTAGAATATACCTATGAGATTCTCAGTACATCCTGAAAAGAATATTCTTGTTTGATTCTAAAAATATGCTCGATATGTATAGGTATTCTCACATTCAAAGAATGTTTCTATGACATTATAGTTATGTTCTCAAAAGAATATTATTCCAATATGCTTGAAATATTCTTAGAATATATCTACACATATCATTCTCAATATGCATCCTAGACATAACATTCTTGGTTGATTCTAAGGATATACTTGGAATGTTAATTTTCGCTTCCAAATAATGCTCCTTCCAGCCCTTTTATATTAAAGGCAGTGAAAGAGTTGTTGGGAAACTTCTCTGGAAAACACAAGTATTTAACCAAAGCTCCGGTTTCAAGCTTGTTATGCTCTCGTCAAAGCACACCAACTGAGAGAAACAGGTTCCAAGGTGATTCAAACGCGAGGTAAGATGTAGATCTTTAATAGCGCGTGGCTCCCTCTCTTGGAAGTCCTACAAAGCAAAAGGAAAAGAATATACCTATAATATTCTTAGTAGGTTCTAGATAGATTATTGTTTAGTTGTTAAATTATGATTTTTGAGTAGGTACTTCAGATAATTAGGTGAACAATATGAAAATATTCTTATCATGGTTACCTACCTACATAAACTTCTCAGCACAACTTGGTAGGTATATTCTTAATACTTGATAGAGATATTAGCCCAAAGAACATTTTTTAGGGTACATTATAATAATGTTCGTATGAAAATATTCAAAGATTGTTATATAAAGTAGGTTCTTAGGTTAGGTGCATAGAAGCAACATTCCTAGTACATAAATAGAACGTTCAAAAATGAATATTTCAATCGAAACAATCTTAGAATATTCATTAAACATTCCTAAAAGAACATTCCAAAAAGCACTTTGAGGGAATATTCTGAGAATATGAATGTTCTTTCACTGTTATGTGGGTAGCTACACTGTTTACAAAAAAATCCGACGGATGAACGTTCAAAATTATTTGCGTTGGTCGAAACTACAACCCTGTTTATGTAAAACAGAATAATACTTCGAATTTCCGCCAAAAAAAGAAAAAACGTTACATCACACAATTTAACCAAATGAAGATTTCTATTTTTTTTTGACAGTCAAGTTAGGGCACACTATAGGGGCGACAGCATTGACATATCGCGTTGCTGTAATGAACTATAGGCCTGACTTTAAACCTTAAGTATATTCCGGGGGGCCGCCTGAGTATATAATAATTATACCAGGGGATAAAAAGGTTTTAAATTCATTGTACCTGTACCAACATGCAATTATTTTCTTTACATTTTATGTGAATAGGGTACTTGCAGGGAAAATTAAATTGATTATTGTTTATTGCAAACTGTAGGGAATCGAAAAAAAATCGTTACTTTTTTTAAATTTCGCCCAAATATGATTATTCCGGAAGTTATACAAATATTAAGTTTTGTATATATAGATATACTGAGCATGTGCAACGTCACTAATTTATAATTATGATAAGTGACGTTATAGACATACTTCATAGCCTTGTATCTCCGTCAATTTTTGACTAAGAAGAAAAAGAAAAAAACACGTGTTGACTTTTTTTTTATGGACTAACGAAATCAGTGGCGACGACAGGGTTTTACGTTAGGGGTGGCCAGGCTGGGCCAAAAAAAATTAGGGGGGGCACTTGTTCTTACTTTATTGCTTTTCTTCTTTGAAACAAAAAATGGGAATTGCAAAGTTTATCCGTATATTTTTGCACTCCACCTGAACAGCTTAATTGAATGTATCAAAAAGGTTTTAATTTGGATTTTGTATACAGGGTGTCCGTTTTTCGAGGACAACCATTGGAATATAGGAAACGGTAAGAGATACAAAATCGAAATCAATGGCCAAATGTGTTACTGCTTTTGGGAGATCAAGAAACTTCGAATACAATTCATAAAAATGCAAACCTCTATTTAAAAAAATAAAGTTGATGATGATCGGCAAAAGAAGAAACGTCGGATTTCAAATTTGGTTACACCATTATGTAGAGGGGAGAAAGTTGCCCCAATAAAGTGAAATTTATTTGAAATACCTTTACAAATGAGTCCAGGAAAATATAGAAATGGATTTTACAAAATTTTGATTTCCATGTGTCTCCGGAAGTATTCGGAATTTTCCAAATTTCGAAGTAGCGTTTTGTTAAGCAAGAAATTGCGCAACTTTGTCCCAATTTCACCGAACCTGTATGTCTTACCGTTTCCTATATTCCAATGATTGCTCTCGAAAAACGGACACCCTGTATAGATAAATCTTCTTGATACCTATTCAATTAACCGTTCAGGGTCGGTTTCTCGATAGCTAGTCCAGGGTAAACGTGTCCAATTGCAATGTTTACCCTGGAGTTATGGTTAACTGCTCTGACCCGGGGGTGACTTGCTTGCTATTGAGAACAGTGTTGCCAGATCTCACGATTATTCGTAAGATTACACGATTTTGGTCAGAATTTCATGATCTCACGAATGAGGTAGCAATTCTCACGAATTCTCTCTGTAGTAATACAAATCAGTAATCAAATATAATGTAATCGGAAATAATCGAAATAAAAATCTACTATACAATATTTAGTTATGTTACGCCGCTCCTGGTACATGCGCGCCCAAGAAAACTTGACCTAATAGCACGGCATATACAAAAACAATCAGCAGGCTAACTCGAGCTTTGTATCGGCGGCGTGAGCAGATGAGATGGGCGTTAAGTCTAATTGTTTTGCCATTTAAAACTAGGCTGTATCCTCGAATGGCGGCGTGCGCAGAAGAGATGCGCGTGAGAGTTAACCTGCTGTTTGTTTTTGTATATCCTGTGTTAATAGGACTACTTATTGAGCTGAAAGTGTCTGCGAAGTCCGCGAGACCCCACTATTTATGACGTCAGCTGCAGACCTCAAATGCATTATCCGAGTCCAAAAAAACGAATTCATAAACGTTGAAATCGCCTTTTCTTAATTTAAAATTTCAAAAAAAAATTAACTCACACGCACAGCCTGAATCACAAGCAAACCATCGAGGTCTGCGGGTGACGTTACTACTATCAGTTGCTGATAGTAGTGACGTCACTCGCAGACCAGCTGCCGACACGAGAATTGACGAACGTACGCATTTTCAGGATAAGCAATCCTGCGGATAATGAAAACGAGGTTCAGCTCTCAGAAACACCTACTAAAAAACGGAAAAAACAGGGATACAAGATTTAATAATAAAATTTCAATTTCTTATGGATTTAAAATCGTGTCTACTCTATCAAAAATCTATAGAAGAACATTGTGCATTATTTTCTTACAAGCAATTTTAAGTCTCACGATTTCTCACGATTTTTCTTTATCGATTCTCACGAAAAAAATTTATTTCATCTGGCAACATTGATTGAGAAACCGGGTTTCAGGTGAGGTGCCAAAAATACACAGGAAAACCCTTTACCTGCCGACACAAATATGTTTGGGGGAATCCCAGAAAAGCGAAAGCATAGTCGCGGTTGCCTGGCGCCCACCAAATATCAAATTAACCAGAGAGCAGATGTTACGCATGTTGCATTGCATTGTTGTCGACATGAGGGAGAGTTTTCAGGGGGGGCCCCTGGCCCCCCTGGCGTCGCCACTGAACGAAATCAGCAATAAAAAAAATTGATGCAAGTACCCTGCGTCTCGGAATAATTCTTTTGTATTAATAGATACATACACGCAGAAAGCACATATTATGTACTATTATATAAACCATTGTAAAAATATACATATTATATTGAATTTTTTTGACAGCTGTGACAGCCAATTAAATTTGGTTATTTTGTGTCATGTGACTTAAGTCATCCAATCACGTGAACATTATACTGAAAGAAAAGAGATCCCATAAGCTGTTTTCACTTTATGATGTTGCTATGAATACATTTTCAGAAATTTTCTATCCGAAAAACCCTC